TATGCGAGTCCAGAGACTGCTCACGGTAGGTTGGTGTGAGTTGGAGGGAACCTTTGGCACAGACAACAAGTACTACGCACTGTGGCCAAGACACTCAGGACACCAAGCACGAGAGAGACTGATGACGGAGGATCCCACGCGCTGGTCCACACGGTGGTATAATGCATCTACGTGCAACTCGCGTTTGATATGCCCATGCCAAGATGAGGTCAATATGGCGCAACCCAGCGCGCTCAGTCCAACCTCTGCGAGCGTCCCCACACTTCATTCCAGTCCTTCTTGCCCTTTGTCTCGGGTATCCTCCACACAGTGAAGAGGGCGAAAAGCGCGGCGAACCCGGCAAAGATAAAGTACACCCAGCCCGCGCCCCCGAGGGCGCTGTTCAGTGCCGTGTTGATCAAGGGGAAGAACTGCGCGACGAGGAAAGTGGCGACGTAGTTGGCAGCAAGGCACCATGATTGCGTAGCGCCGACGGCTTCCTGACCGACGAGCTCCGAAGCGAGGATGAACGGCACGGGACCCAGGCCCACAGCAAAGAAGGCGACAAAGAAGGCAACAGAATTGGCGGACAGGAACTTGATGCCCAAGCGAATTGACAGCGCAAGGATCAGGGCGCTGGAGCCCTGCCCGATGATGGACGCGAGAATACAGGCCTTGCGGCCGAGACGGTCTGGCAGGGGAGCGCAGGCGATGGTCATAAAGAGGCCAATGACGGAGATGAGGATAGTCAACAGAGCAGAGCTGATGGGGAGAAGGTCGGCAAGCAGCGAGACGGAGTACATGATGACCGAGTTGATGCCGATCAACTGTTGGGCAAACATGACGCCGACGACAGCAATGATGGCTGGGCGGTAGAGGGGATCCTTGACGACCTCGAGGAAGCCAAGATGTCTTCCGGTTGTCCTGCCCACAGACAGTGGTGCCGAGTCGGCGTCTTCAGGCTCGGTCTGAGCCAGAAGTCCTTGCTGCTCTGCGCTGCGTCCTTCGCCGTTCCAGCTCTCGACTTCTTCGGCAATGTCAAAATCCTTACCACGGATGCGCTGCAAGATGCGGCGGGCACCATTCACGTCCCCGTTGGCGGCCAGCCAAGCCGGGCTCTCAGGGACGAAAAGCAGGCCGAAAGACTGGACCAGTGCGATAATGGCGCCGGTGGCCAGGATGATGCGCCAGGAATCACCATGGCTCAGGAAGAAGCCGAGCGTCTGCGTCAAGAGAATGCCCAGGTTGATCGAGATCTGTGTCATAAAGCCAAACAGGCCGCGCTCCTTGGGAGGCGCAATTTCGCTGACGTAAAGAGGCACAACAACGGTCGCAGCTCCGGCTGCAGCACCCGACAAGAGGCGGCCGATGACGAGCAGGGCCACGCTGGGGGCAATGGTCTCGAACGCGGAGCCGGCAAGGAAGACGAGGGCTGTGACGCGCATAGCCGACAGGCGACCACGCTTCGAGGCGAAAGGACCAGCAGCCAGGGCCCCAATCAGTCCACCGACAACGAATGCAGAGGAGACGGTCGAGAAGGCGGCATCATTCATAGGTATACATTTTGGGAGCAAACCCGGGTTCTCTGGTGGAGGGTTGTCGTGGCGGATTAGTCTCGTTGGATCAGAGCGATGCGGTATGGCTCGCTTCTTGCAGGATATGACATCTTGAGGAGCGTTGAGTTCGGCCTGGAGGGTAGGATTGGTTAGAGAGCGGAGGCACTCCAAGGTGACTTGGAAGAGGAGGGGAGGAGGGGTCAAGGCATACGATATGGAATCCGAACTGAAGGGATCCCAATGTGGAAACCAGGACCAAGAGGATCAGATACAACGTGGTGTCGTGTGCGAGCTGTCTGAAACCGGAGGGTGCCATGTTGATTGTGTTGAGGTGAACACCGGGCGAGGTGCATTTGGAGAAGGAGGAGCCGTCGACGTTGAGGTCTGCGTAGCTCTGAAGGAGGCTCGAGGCGGGACCAACAGCATCCGCGTCACCGATTGGGACAAGTCAGCTGTCGCCAGGTGGCTCACCACGAGGCTGGGGGGGGCGAGTCCGGAGACGACGATCCGGCCAGCGGTGTGCCAGCGATCTATCTCACTGTCGCACGGCAGCATGCTCAGCATGGCTGGTTGCGTGATTCTGAAGATGATTCATTCGATCGATGAATGGCCGTCAGAGTCGCCCGACATGGACCCCAGAAGACCGAATGCTAAAAGCCAAACGGGTGCCGAGAAAGCTTCCGAGACGGGATCTTGCATCCTGTACGAGGTACTCGAATGAGAGCAAGCCGTGCGCTTCCAGTTGATGGGGACAATCTGGTCGGCTTCGGCAGAGCTAAGACACAAGGATGAGCAGGTAGCGATAGCAGGGCTGACAGGGACCAGGGCCCTGTGAAAGCTCCAGATACACTGGCTGTCTGATGGGGTGGGGGAAGGGGGGGGGGGGGAGTGGGGGGGGCGCCAGCACTGTACTGAAGGGCCAGATCGCGGGGGTTCAGAGGCTCCGGGGCACGCCAGCAGAAGCCCCGATCCAGTACTTTTGAGACGTAGGGGTAGCACAGCCATCAGCCATCAGCCATCAGCCATCAAAGCCGCAACTATAGCCCCATACGTACGTATCATGTGCTTGTTCTTGTTCAAACGGCGACCTCGGATCAATGTGACTGGGCCGGGCAGCTGCCTGTGGCACTCACCGTCCAATCATGGGGAAAAAAACAACGGCTGCCGTCTGGTCGAGGGTTTGATTGCATAACCCGCCCGCATGAGCAGCCGGCCAGCCAACATGCCAGCCAACACAGACGTGCATATGCCTGGCCTGTTTGCTGCCGCCTTGACATGCCGTTGATCGTCTCGTGTGTGGAAATCATAGACTTGATCGTTCTCGCCACGCATAAAGCGCCCGCATCCCACTTTCAGACGGGCCCAGCACCTTGCCCAGAAACAGAGGCTAAAGCCAGAGGCAGCGAGGACATTGGCAGGCCATCCCACTCTCTCCATGTCACTGACATCCGCTCACCCTCCTTCGCTTGCTTTCGCTTGCCCTCGCCGCCTGTCTTCACTGCCCCTAGCGGCTCGTCTCGCTGCCCTGCGCCGCGTTCCCCGACCAGATCGATCATGGCCTTCACGTATGTCCCTGGCACCTTTGACTTTTGGGCGGCGCGCCAGTCGACCCATCTCGTCGACATGCACGAGGCAGCCTTCGTCCCTTTCAACGTCCACCAGGCCGTGGGCACGGCAGGGCTGGGGTCCTGTTCCGTCGTCGCCATTGCCTCTGAGCGCGCCGTCATTCTTGCTCACATCCCGCCGCTGCCGGACTTGCACTCGCAGCGACCCGACGCCGGCGACGCCAACGTGCGGCAGATGATGAAGCGAGTGCGGCGACTGTACCGAGACAACCGCCAGTTCTTCGACAATGCCGAGGGGCGCGTTACTTGCGCCATATACGCCGGCGAGGTTGCGCTGCCGGACCAGGTGGCCATCATGCAGGAACAACTACGGCTGTTGGGGTTCGAGCCGAGTACCGACTACTACCAGGTGCCAGCCGATGCAAATGTTGGCCGGGGCACCGTCGTCATTGTCGCGCCGCCACATCACCAGGGACAGGTTGGCGTTTACGTCGAGGACAGCCTGGTGTCGTCGCCTGCCTCGTCGCCGTCGCCTCCGCCGTCGTCTGTTCCCACAGCGTCGGGTGCGGCGGTTGCCAAATCGTCGTGGGGCCGGGCATGACGTTGAAGTCGAGGTGTAGAGGTGGGGTGGTGAACACTGACGACGTGGTACGCCTAAAAGGTAAGTGTAAGACAGACGGGGATTAGCAGCCAATGGAGGGACACTAGCACCCCTCCTTTCTCCTCTCCCCTGCCCCTTCCCCTTGACCACGCGATTATACAAGCCCCTGTACAAGCTCCCATCCACTGAACAATCGAGCAGGCATGCCCCGTGCGACCACCCCCTGGTCCCCCTTCGTCGAAGCCCTTCAGAGATTCAACTACATCCGACCATTACTTTACAAAACTGCATCTTGACATCGAGATGTTATGTCACTAACAGTATCATGATTGATGGTTTTCTTTCCAGTCACGCCCTAGATTGTTATCAGCGGGCTCGTGAATGTTTTCCGTTGCAGAGTGTTGTCAGCCCAAGGCAGTCAGTTGTTGCAGTTTTGGTATGGCTGTCTCCAAGTCCATCGTGAGAGGCAGACAGCGAGTCTTTTACAACCCTCCGTACTTGCTACCCTCGTGAGTCCTGCTATTCCATACACGCCTTAGCTTAGCATTCATGGTCACGGGTATGACTGACAAAAAGGGTTCAGACTTCTTTGTGTTCGCGCGACTTTCCAAGCATGTTCGCTAGCATTCGCTTCGTTGATCAAGCGAACCATGAGAAATCATTTGCGGTGATTCTTCTTGAATTTCTGCATCACTCCGACAGGATTACACAAAAGCTGCAACTGACGATCGATGCCGGTTCGCTCAAAAGCAATATTGATTGATTGAACGTGCTTTGGGTCCTATCATCGCATGCCGCATGCAAAAAACGCACCTCATAGCGATCAAATTTCGTGGGTCACCATCTTGACCAAATTCTTTGACCTGGACTCAAAAAGGACCAGATTTCATCCGATGGATCGAATCCCAGTGTGTACCCTGGTCATCAAACGTAAACAACAAGTACAAATAATCCAGAAATGTCCACTGCAAACCATGACCCCATTATTGACGTGAAGGGCGTGAGATTAATAAGCCATCATGGTCAAGATCAAGCCCAAAGCACGTCGTTGATCGTGGTCTGGATGGGCCTCATGCAGTGCGGTCATTGATACGATTTGTCAGAAACCGGGGGCTGCCAACAACAAGCGGGGAAGAACCTCATATGAGACCCATCACTCCATCAATCAATCATTTGAGTAACTTACTTTTAAACCATTGATTCCCTCTTGTATTCACAGTGAAAGCCAGCATCTCTCGCATTGAAGGCCCAGCACTTTACTTCACATCTCGCATCATTGACGACGTGCACTCCGCAACTATGGCGCCATTCCAACCCTCCAATATCCTCATCCTTGGGGGCATTGGGAACATTGGGTACTACATCGCGGATGCCATCATCAAGGCGCAGCCCCCATTCAAGCAAATCACAGTCTTCATTCGCAAAGACTCGGCGAGCAAGAAGCAGGCCTTCGTCAAGGCCTTTGAAGCAAGGGGCGTCAAGGTCGTCACTGGCGACCTGGAGACAAAGTCAGATATCCAGGCCATTTACGAGGGCATCGACACGGTCGTCTCTGCGCTCGGCCGCGACGCCCTCGAGCGTCAGATCGACCTCATTCGCGAGGCGGAGGCTTCCGACTCGGTCAAGTGGTTCATCCCGTCCGAGTACGGCACCGACATAGAATATGGCCCATCGAGCGCCGCCGAGAAGCCCCACCAGCTGAAGCTCAAGGTGCGCAGGGCGCTCCGCGAAGACACAAAGCGCCTCGAGCACACCTTTGTCGTGACGGGCCCGTACAGTGACATGTACTTCAACTTATCGGACAAGTTCCCCGAAGTTGGCGGGTTTGATGCCGCGAGGAAGAAAGCGGTCCTGATTGAGGACGGTGAGGGCAAGATTGGGTTCACGACGATGCCTGAGTAAGAGAGACCGACCCCGTTGTGTTGGGTCCGATATAAGGCGCAAGACTAATGAGCTCCGCAGTGTCGGAAAGGCTGTGGTAGCTGTCCTGCGACAGCCCGAGGCGTCGTTTGGCAAGGCGATCAAGGTGCAGTCCTTCGTCGTGACACCGAAACAGATCCTCGCCGAGTTCGAGAAGCAGACGGGCGGGGAGAAGTGGAACGTATCCTACACGCCGCTGCAGAGCCTGAAGGAGGCAGAACAAAAGGCTTGGAGCCAGACGCCGGGTACCGCGACGCTATACACGCTGGGGCGTATCTGGGCTGAGGGTGGCACTCTGTATGAAAAGACAGACAATGAGAGCATTGGGTTGAAGGAGGCAGAGCTCGAGACGCTCGAGGCGTCCGTCAAGCGGTATCTGGTGACAGGCTGGGTTCCGAAAGTCGTGGATGGGAAAGCAACTCTCCCGGTGTAAGGACTGGATGTGATGGTCCCCTTCTATATTAATCTAGGTAGTTATTTTACCACGATGTGTTTGGTCTCTTATGGGTGAGTAACAAGGATAACTCTACAGTGTTCTTCACGAAAGTCCTATGGATATGTCACGATCATAAAAGTATAGAAATGCTATGAAGAAGATATGAGAGCCCTCTTCGCGCTTCTAGAGTTTCTTATGGCGGATGCCTTGCCTATGAAGTGGCCTTGGTGGTATACCAGGTCCTGGCACCTTTCTGAGTATTGAATGTGGTGGAGCCCGGTGAGTCGGTGTGCCCCACCGCCCCACCATGCAGCCCAAGGTGAGCGGTGGCAGGGGTCTCAATCGGTGTCTTTCCCAATCGCCCAAAACTTTTTTTTCTAGCAGGCGCAATTGGGAAAAACCCACGGTCGTCCACTCTACGCCATCCCTCCACGACCTCCTCACCCACGAACCCCGACGACGATCGGCAATCCGTCTAGGAGCCATGGCGGTCAAAGAAGAGCTTCCAGTGGCTTCGAGCCACAAGACGGAGAAGAAGCAGAAGAAAGAGAAGAAGAAGCGATCCCGGGAGGAAGACCCTCTTGTGACAGACGAACGCAAGCACAAGCGATCCAAGAGCACAGCCAACCGTGCAATCTCACCAGACCTCTCGGCTTCTGCGAACACAGACGCCAACGATAGTGTTGCCGAGGCCGAGAAGCCAACCAAAAAGTCGAAAAAATCAAAGAAGAGCAAGCAGGAAGCCCCAGCAGATGCCGGGGATGCGGTGCAAGTGGTTGCCGACAAGAAGAAGCGACGCATGTCCAGGAGTCAAGATGACGAAGACGGCCGGTCCGAACTGAAGGCCAGCGCCAAGAAGAGCAGCAGCAAGAAGAAGAGCAAGAAGGAGCCTACGCCAGAGTCGTCCGAGGCCGAGCAAGCTTCAGAATCCTCAGAAGACGACGAAGCCGAAAACCCCGATGCCATGGACATTGACACGCCTTTGCAGCCCAACCCTCCCAAGTCTACATCTAGGCTGCACCAGCCGCTCGATACCCCCGCCAAACCACGATACCCATTCTTCACACAAACCGTCTCCCTCTTCCTGCCCATCTACCCCATCGGATGGGCTGGCCCCTGCACCGCCGCTGCGACCCAGCACCTCCAGCCCATGGTCAACCGCTACGTGCCAGTCCTCGGCGGTGTTCTGCTCGGCTTCCGCAACGTCGCTGTCTCCGAGCGCCCCGGCCGCGAAGACGCGGCGACTAGCGACTCGGACGTTTGCAAACTTGGTGCCATTGATGAGTTCGCCGTCGGCTTCGGCTGGGTCACGGCGGACGTCGACCTCTTCGTCCCGAAGCGCGGCGCCTGGATGGAGGGTAGCATCAACCTCGAGAGCGAAGGTCACGTCGGCGTCGTGTGCTGGGGCAAGTTCAACGCCAGCATCGAGTCGGCGCGTCTACCGCCCGCGTGGCGCTGGGTCCATCTTGGCACCGACGAGACCGCAGCGACGAGCGCCCACGACGACACCGTTTCCAACTTTACTGCCGAGGAGCAGCACGGTGCCGTGCGCCAGATCCACGCTACGGGTTACTGGGTCGACGAGGCTGGCCAAAAGGTCAAGGGCCGTGTGCGCTTCCGTATCAAGGCTTTCGACGTGGGCGTCAGCGGAGATCACGGCTACCTCTCCCTTGAGGGAACCATGCTCGACGCCGCTGGCGAGGCTGAGGCGCGCCAGCGCGACGCCCAGCAAGAGCTACGGCGGCGCAAGGGCAAGTCGGGCGGTGTGCTGCGCAAGGAGCGACGATACGTGCCCGACTTCAGCATCACAAAGTTCGGCGAAGTTGAGAACGAGGAGGAGAAGGCCTTGGCGCAGGAGGTATGGGAGCACACCGAGCCGGCCAAGGATGCCGCCGAGACGGCGCAGGACGGCGAGTACGCCGGGCTTTCGCACGAGGCCGCTTAGATGGCGAGGACCTCGCTGACGTTGCGAGAGAAATGATTGAGATTTAGATGTGGGAACTGGGGGTTAGGGTGTTGGGCTGCCTCATTTCAGGCAGATACAAAAATGGCTTCGAGCGCAATGTAACCGTTTGTCTACCTCGTCCGAATATCGCACGACTTGGTCAGACGCCACTACGATGCGCCGTACTAATGGTGTTCATTTGTTGAGACGTCTTTATTGCAAGCCAGCCACAAGTTGCCGGCCAATTGCGCCGAAGGCGGAGTAACCTATTCTGTACAGTCGTTGGATTATTGATTTGTCGTGGGGCTGACCTGGCGACGTAAGACAGCGCCACGGCTGGGGTTTCTTCATTACTGATCACTGCACTTCGCGATGCTTGGCATTCGTGGCCCTTTGACAGCTTCTGGCACGAGGCTTGTACTCACGCAGTGAGCAAACGCCTCCTTAGGCACCCGTTTAGTCAATCACGATGTTTCTCAACAATGACTTTGAAAAGCGTCGTCATCTCTTACCCCGTGGCTTCAGCGACAGCCTGCTGCCATGGTATGCGACAAGAATCAGAAGCGAGCACATGCAAGGTGACGGTTCAGCTACCACTAGAGGCTCGCCGTGGGATCTAGACATGTTGACAGTTGAACCGGTTAACAACTGGCCATAAGGTGATTTGGGAACTATATAAGAGCACCAACGAGTGCAGTTTCGTATAATGCTCCTCCCCAAGCAGACAGACACGCATCAAACAATCTCATCTTCTACGACTCGCCACACTACAAGAACCCATCATGTCTACCAAGCTCGTTACCGTCTTCGGCTCCACTGGCGCCCAGGGCGGCAGCGTTGTTCAGGCCCTCCTCCGCGACAAGTCCGGCGTCTTCAGGATCCGCGGCATCACTCGCAACCCCGAGTCCGAGGCGGCCATCAGGCTCGCCGACGCGGGAGTGCAAGTTGTCAAAGCCGATGGCCTCAAGGGACACGAGCTCAAAGCTGCCTTTGAAGGCAGCTGGGCTGTATTTGCGAACATCAATTCTGATGATCCGGTAAGCCCTTCGTTGGCTGTTCCCCAAGCGAGTTGCGGTAACTGACTAGGAGAAACAGTCCATCAACGAAAAGGGGGGCCCCTCCGAGACAGACATGGGCAAGAACATAATCGACGCCGCCGCCGAAGCTGGCGTCCAGCACTTTATCTTCAGCGGCATGGCCTCCGCTGCTGAGACCACGAAGGGCGAATTCCCGAACCAGGCCTTTGACGGTATGTGGACTCTCATCCCCCCTTCCGTCTTTGCAGTATCAACCATCCTTTAACACAGGCCAGAGAAACACGCCATCGGGCAGTACGGCCGTAGCAAGTCATTCGTTTCCTTCACTGACGTCAGCCCGGGCTGGTACATGGAGACCTTCCTCTGGCCGGATATCGCGCCCATCTTTGGCGGGTGGCCCTTCGAGGCCGACGACGAGGGGTATCTGACTTTCAGCTGCCCGCGCTGGGGCGGATCGAACGACGCCGTGCCGCTGATCGCCGTGGCCGCCGACTACGGCGACATTGTGCACGGCGTCCTGCTCGCGCCGGAGCGGTGGCACGGGCAGCTCGTGCAGGGCATCAGCCAGTCGCAGGCGCTCGAGAGCGTGATCCCCGACTACAAAAAGGGTGAGCACTACACCCACACATATCTCAACACAAATGCCTCGCCTCTTGCCCATGCTAACGACGACGCAGTCACGGGCAAGAAGGCGCGCTTCCGCTTCATGGACAGCTGGGCGGACGTCCAGACGTACGGCATGACGGCCCTCGTCACCGTGCAGCGCATGTTCGGCTTCTGCCAGCAGTCGGGCGGGCTTTACTATGGCGTGCCCAACGACACGGCGGCCGCTGCCGAGCTGAAGAGGGTGGCAGCTGCTGCGCAGGGAAAGGCTGGCGAGGATGCCGAGTTGATGACCCTGGAGCGCTTCTTCAGACAGCAGTTTGCCTAGTTGCTGGCCCTTTTCCCTTTGTGTCTAGGAGTCCGATCTAACGTCTTGTTTCGTTTCGCAGATGGCCTTGATGTGTATTCGTTTTCTCTGTTTAACAGCAATATTATTTGCGTTAATTCCTAGTTGTGTTCAAGCCTGGCTCTTGCCTCGCCTTTATCAAGAGTGCCTCATATTTGACATTTCTCCAAACTGATCTCGTAGTCCGCAACATGTGCATATCCAAACGTAGGCTAGTTAACAGCAATCCGTCTAAATGACAGATTTCAACCCACTCGCGATAAGTAGTGATCCGCGAGGTGTCTGTCTGCAGAGCATGTGAGAGACTTGAAAAAAGAACAAACATTAGAACTTGATATATCCGGACTCATCGTACAAAACGTCTAATTCTATAGAAGCAAGTCTTTCACCAGGACGCCGCGCTCAAGCCAAATCTTCCGAGGGCACTGCCATCGCCGCCATCACCGCCATCGAACCACGACTCCAGCGTATCGAGGTTGGCAAACTGCTGCGCAAACACCATTCCCTCGCGCCTTCTCTTCTCAACCATCTTCCAGTCCCACGATCCATCGTTGGCGACCTCGCCGAGGTCCTCCTCGTCGCCTACGCCGTTGGGTCCGCCGCGCCAACCCTCGGGGCCCTTCGGATGCGCCGGCAGCAGCTCGCTACCGTCAATGATGTAGCTCGGGTGTATCGTCCACCTGCCGAGCTTGAAGACGTATTTGCTGACGGCGGTAGCGTAGATCTTGTGCTTCCACGCATTGGCTTCTTTGCTGTCGGGACCGCCCTTGCGCGTGCGCGCGCGGCCAAACTTGGTGTCGAGGTACTCAGAGGGGCGGGCGATGCCCTTGGGCACGAAGTGGGTGACCATGTAGAGCCACTTGCGGTCCCAGGCGAGGATGCGGGTCCACATCTCGTAGGGCGCATACGCGGTGATCTCGCGGCGGAAGGAACAGTGGACGGCGCCGAGCATGATGCCGAAGTTGCCGCGGCGGGGCTTGCCGGTGATGTCGTCGATGATGACGCCCGTCTTCGTGTTGTGTGTGAGCTTGCGGAAGCCGGGGCGCAAGAGGTGGGAGGCCATGTGGGAGCGTGCAATATCGAGGTCGGAAAAGTACGTCGAGTTGGACTTGTGGATGTTGTAATCAATCTCCGTCAGGGGAGCGTGCGACTCGGAGATCAAGGGGCGGAAGAGAGAGCGCGGACCGAGGCGGGGAGACTTGCGCATGAAGCAATGATAGAGGATGGCGTGCCAGAGACGGATCTGTCAATTCAAGTCAGGGGGTGATGCAGTCAAGAGGGAGCGGGGAGAGCGGCGTACGGTCCACATGCCAGGCAGGTTCTTGAAGTTGAACAGCGCGAAGATGAGCATCAGGATGCGGCTGATGCGCCCTGGACCGGTGAAGAAATCCTTGAGGACAGTCTTCCACTGGATCTTGTAGGCTGCCAAGGCAGCGCCGCCGTAGATGGAGAGACGGAGCAGGCGGATGACGCGCTCAGGAATACGATCGAGCTCGGCCACGGAGGGCACCATCTTGGAAAGGGCTGCCATTGCAAAGGCACTATCGAAGGGGTGAAATGCAAGTCGTAGCGGGTCTATCGTTGTTGGCGATGCTGATGCTGATGCCGAGGCTGACGATGCTATCTCTAAGAGGGCTTCTTCTCGTGAGCCGCTGGGTTTCGTCTTCGTCGCAGGGTGTCAGCGATGCGATGACGAGCTGCGCCTAAAAGTACGATAAGGATGGCGACAATCCAGAGCGACACAGCACGAAGGATGCAGAAGGCGGTGGTGGAACACTTTGATGCGATGGAGTAAGCAGCGGCAGCAGGCGGGCTGACCATCCGAGGGGTAAATGAGGTGTTATCAGAGGCCGCTCCTCAGGCTGTAGTTGAAGACATGATTGCGAATGTGAATGTGAAAATGCCGAACCGAGGCACTGGTCCGTGGATGATCCATCTCGCGTCTGGGCATTTGACAGCTTTCGATAAATTTGTTGGGTAACGTCGCGGGATCGCGGGGATCGCAATGTCCGAGTGCCTGCTGGGTCCCTTGACCTAGGTACCTCCCTAGGTACGTACCGTGCCTCCTTAGGCACGTTTGGTAGGAACGGCCCCTTGGGACCTGCCTCCCTTTGCACGCGTTAGCGCTGAGTTTCCTTGGGAAGGTGCTCAGGGTGCTCAGAGTGCTGGGCTGGGTGCTGGGTGCTTAGGAAGGTGCACCCAGCGCCTGGGAAGGTGCATCCAACGCCTGTACTTGCACTCGATTGCGGTTAGCTCCATCGCCGTTCGGCCTCGCTTCCCTCCCCCATTTCCTCACATGCTTCTGTATGTAGATGGCCTCCGTTGGAGTCTTCAGTTGCCCCGGGTCTGAAGATCCTGAACCTCATGGTGTAAAAGTCGACTCGCCGCCTCGACCGTACCTTGTTCATCAATTCTATCCCTGATCAACGGCCTGATGGTCGCATCCAGGTTACCATCCAGGTTACCAGACGACAGCTTCCTACCATCAGAAGGTCATATGGCACGCCACTACACGAGAATACACAAGAGACCGCCAATGTGGACCTTAGCAGCAATGTCAGGCAGCACTGCAGTTCTATATGCCCTCTACACGATGACGGTCACGATCGAAACTAGCAGATTTTGGTGATGCACAAGTCCCGAGCATCTGTTTGTATGACGATCCAATTGGGGCTGTCTTCCCAGAGAGACTTGTTCATTCTTCGTCTCGAAGGTAGCTCGGATTTTCATGGATTCAGTATCCTCATCTGAAATCCATCATCTACAAGCTCGACGTCGCGTCGTCCGATGCATTAGGCTGGGGCACCGTCTCTTTATACAACGACATCATGACGACCTGCGAAAGGCAGATCGTGTGGGAATGGGTTCGTTGGAGGCGCAGCCATGACGCCAAGGGTTAATCTCCCGCACTTCCGGGACCCGGAGTACGCATTCGTCCAAACCCCACCACACACACCTCTTTGGCGCCTCGTATCCCTTTCAGTGAGCTGACCACTAGGCAGCTATGTCATGAACCTGTTCTGGGGTGTGGCACGGCACCAAACTTGGCTGATCGTATCGGATCTCGTGTTTTTCCCCTCCAGATCTGCGGCTTCCACACTCATCACTTCGAGACCTCACGACTCCCCATCCCACCTCTTCAACGCTGCCGTCCGCTCTCAACCTCGACGCTCGTTCCCCATCTTCAACGTTGCCAGGTCAATTCGACTGATTCGCCTTTCCTACGCACGACACGTCTCAGCATCGAGGGTCACTCGCTACGCCCTCATCATGATGTGGCAATCATGCCTCACCCTGGGTCTTTTGACGCTCTTCTCCTCAGCAGCGTCCGCAGAGCGACTGCTTCGATCCAATTCCCTTGATTCTTGTCAGAAGGACTCCAGTTTCTCCGCGAGTCTCTTCAATGTCGTGTACACGCCTGATAACAACACCATCTTCGCCCAACTGTCTGCCATGTCGACAGTCAACGACTATGTCATCGCCGAAATCGTGCTTGACGTTTACGGCTATCAGGCTGTGCATCAAAATTTCGACCCTTGCACGCTCGAGGACATGAAGGCCACCATCTGCCCCCTCACCGTTGGCAAACTGCCCCCCCGGTTCAACTTTCGGGTTGGTGACAGCGTCAGCAAGCAGATCCCCGGCATTGCATACGCCTTCCCCGACCTGGACGCCAAAGTCCGCGTCCATATCAGGAGCACGCGAACTGACGAAACCCTCGCTTGCGTCGAGGCCAAGTTTTCCAACGACAAGACAGTCGATCTCGTCGGTGTCAAGTGGGCCACCGCCGCCGTTACCCTCGTCGGCCTCATCGCGTCTGCCCTCATGTCCGGCGTCGGCTACACCAACGCTGCTGCTCACCTGGGCGCCAGTACCTTGTCATTGTTCGCATACTTCCAGGCTCAGGCCATGGTCGGTCTCAGCGGTGTGCCTCTGCCGCCTGCCGCCCAGGCCTGGACGCAGAACTTTGTCTGGTCGCTAGGTCTGATCCGCATCGGCTTCATGCAGACCATCTTCACCTGGTATCAGCGCTCAACTGGCGGCGACGCGGCCGGGCTCCTCGACAATGCGCTAGGTGCATCGGTCCAAGTGATGAAGCGATCTTTGGACCCGGCAGCTGGCGGCCTTCAGAAGCGAAGTAACGTCATGCTGGACACGGGTGCCTACGTCGTATACGGCATCCAGCGTGTGGGTTACAAGGCACACATCGAGACCACCAACATTGTCATGACCAGCATCGTCTTCAGTGCCTTCCTGGTGCTCATCAGCGCCTTGTTCGTCTACCTTGCTCGCCTCATCCTCAACTTTTGCGTCAAGCGGGGATGGGTCAAGGACACCCGGTTCCCGGAGCTGCGCGGAGGCGGCTGGCGCATGCTTCTCAAGGGCATAACTCTCCGCATGCTGCTTGCTGTCTTCCCCGCCATTGCTATCTTCTGCTTCTGGGAGTTCACCCAGGCTGATTCGGCAGCCATCGTTGTGCTCTGCGTGTTCCTCTTATTCGGCAGCATGCTCGTTCTTGGCGTTGCCGCGGTTCGAATCATAACCATTGGAAGGAACTCAAAAGCCGTGCATCGGTCTGCTGCGTATCAGCTCTTCTCTAACCAAGAGTATCTCCAGATTTGGGGCTTCCTCTACGTTCCATTCCGAGCAACGGCCTACTATTATATCCTGCCTCTGCTCGTACACACGGTCGTCAAGGCGGCTATCATTGCCTTTGGACAGCACAATGGTGTTGCGCAGGCGATATGCCTGATCATTGTCGAAGCCGTCGCTCTGGCTGCCGCAAGCCTTCTGCGACCATGGATGGCCAAGAGCATCAACGTTCTCAACATTGCCATCTGCTCCGTTAACTTTGTCAACGCAATCTTCCTCTTCTTGCTCACCAACAAGTTTGATGCCCCGGGTCTCCTCGTTGGAGTGGTTGGCATTCTCATCTTTCTCGTGAACGCCATCTTCTCCCTGATCCTCTTGCTGCTCGTCATCATCTCGAGCATCATGGCTTTCTGGAGGAAGAACCCTGACGACCGCTACCGCGCGATGGACGACGACCGTGTGATGTTCTGGAAGTCGAGGACGAGCATGGTGCCCAGCATGGCGGCAACTCAGGAATTGGAGGCGCTGGCTGCAACAGCTCGCGGGGCGAAAGACAGCCAGGAGGGTTCGCACCGGATCGAGAGTCCGCCCTCGACCCCAACCATCGGTGCCCGCCCCGGCTCGCGTCGTGTAGACAGTCCCGCCCTCAACGAACGGTCGAGTAGCGTCCATGACTCAGTCAGGGATGACCAGTACGCGGCTCCGCGAGCCCCCTGGAAGCGTAGCAACAGAGACAGTGGTATGACGGAATAAGATGGGCGGCGCTCCTTGGAAGCCGTGGACATGTTGGCCTGGATACCGGCAGCGGGCTCAGCAGCGAGCCCGTTGCCCAAAAAGACGCGTCTCGCTACCTAATGAGAATTTCCTTCTGTGTTCAATGACCAGCCGCTCCGTGATGCTTGAGTTGGCCATCCCTGCAAACTCCAAACATTGTAGGGAACATTGTAGGGTAGGATACGTATGGATGTTGTTAGCCAACTTGGAGGCCTGTAGTGAGGCCATGGGCGCACATGGTACACGCTGGTTCTCCTATTTAGTTGCCGCATGAGACATCAACACAAAGGAGACGGCCAAGCGGATAATCTCTCGGGTTGGAACTCAATCTCTTGGTTGGCCACCTCCGTTCAAGTACAGGGCGAGGCAGGTAGCCAGACCCCTCGCAGATGGGCATCTTAACCTGACATTCTGTAAAAGGGGCTTTGACCAGCGTGACTTGACACAGGAGCTCGCCCGAGCGACATGGCCTGGCGAAGCTAAGAAGGAGGCAGCCAGGTCCGGATAGCGTTCCGGCTTTGGTCTTGATCCTCGTCAGACAAACTCGACACGCAACTTGGGCTTTAGAGTTGGGTGACCCGCGGGTGAAGAAGGCTTGTCTGCTACATTACTACCGTCTTCCTCGTCGGTAATTCTGCGATAGCAAACCCGGACCGTGGACACCATGATGATGAAGCACATGGGAGATGGAGTGCAACTCTTCAGGCGAGTCTTCCCAGCACGCGACGTTGCTCCGCATAGGGTTCCGAGGCGCAGACACTGGCCTGGTGAAGAAGGCTAACTGATGCCGTGCCGGCTGGCTCACTGTACATGTATGTCGGCAGGTATCCTCGCCCGGCGGTTCGTCCAGCTTACCCGTCAAAGGCAACGCAGCCGGGACCCCTTGCTACCCGCCAGCATGGTACGCTCGAGTCCGCGACAATAGCAGCCGACGGCAATGCTGCTCAATTCACACTGGCCCACGGATGGGGGAGCAAATCGCCCCCGGCAGCGCGAGGGCTCCGGGGAAACTCTGAAAAATTAGCGCACTCCATCACTCCTTGCGAACCTTGTGCAGGGCTGTCCGTGAGTATCGATACGTCCGCTGCACCAACCGGCAGACGGCGAGTCAGTGTTCAGGAGCAGGATCCCGGCTGCAGTTCGACGCTGACTGCAGGTATCGGTACCTGAATCACGACGTGCCCGGGATCATGACACGGACGCAAGGTTTAGAAGTAGAAACCCCAAGGCAAGGGAACTTTCTGAACGCGAAAGCGACCTATCTTTGGGTTCTGGGGCTTCGGCCAACACTGCATCGTCGGATTGATCGGCAAGGCGGGGAAGCAGGTACGAGATGCCTCGTGGTGCTCGAATCACATGTGTGTGTTGCGCTGCCAGCACCGCCTGATCCGGCGCACGACATGAGACTATTCTGTCCATGAGAGCGACGATCCGGCTCGAGGAGTCTTGTCGAACACGGGTATCCCCTGAGAGGATTCAGAGAATCAATTAGCTTAGGGATCGTCCCGACCTGGTCCCTCCCTCTGCATCAAGCTGGGCTATTCGCCTTACGTACACGAGGCTCACTGCAGTTTTTTTTTTCTTTCTTGGCATACTGTCTGTCCGATCTTGTGGCACAGGATGACTGGATGTAAGGAATGGATGCTCGGAAATGTCCAAAGAGAATGCTTCATGATGTCTGAAACAGAATTCCTGCCTGACCTGCCTACACTATCTGGCTCACTTGCACACGGCCCCCCTTCGTAGACTTGACATCAGACAGCTGGTAGCCCTCATCGTCGCTCCCTCTGTTCCCGACGAAGATGTTCCGCGTCGAATCCGAGTCACTCTTGACCTGGCCCTGCGCCACGAGCGTCGGCATGCGCTGGCTCGCGGCGTGGCTGCCGGCCGTGCGAAAGCGGCTCCCGCTGCGCTCGCCAGACGAGCCGCCGAGGGCGCTGGTGGCCGAGTGCCAGGTGCCCATGATGTAGGCGTCGAGGACGGGCAGCGAGGCGGTGATGCAGCCCATGGCGAGGTCGAGGGTGGTCCAGCGCAGGATGGAGGTGTACTGCCAGAAGAGGTCGTTTGTGATGACAAAGGCGATCTGCTGCAGGACGCCGCCGAGGACGGTGACGGCGCCGCAGATCCAGATGGCGAAGAGGCGGCGCTTCTTGCTGGCGTCGATGCGGACGTGCCACATGATGATGATGGGGGCGCCGAGCAGCAGGAAGCTCTGGATCGTGTGGATGATGGAGAAGACGCGGGCGTTGGTCACGTCGTCGCTGCACCGCGGCGGCCGCGCGAGGCTGCCGGCGTACTGGCGCGAGAACCAGGCGCGCGGCGGCAGGCAGAAGAACGAGTTCCAGAAGAGCGCGGCCAGGACGTAGACCACGAGCGAGCCGAGGAAGACGTCGGCGGCGAGGCGCCAGAAGACGGACGCCCGGTCGGTGAGCCGCCGTACGAAGAGCGTGATGGAGATCTTGATGAGGCCGACCGTCACGAAGAAGAGGAGCCGGCACGAGCTCAGGCCGCGCACAAACTTCTCCCAGTCCTCGTACGTGTTCTCCCACGAGTGCCGGCCGCCGCCCGCCGAGACGACCATCCAGATCTGGAAGCACGGGTACACGGTCGCGAGGCTCTGCGGAGGGGTTGTTGTCAGAGTCACGGCCAACAATGTCGAGCAGGGTTTGGGGGTCTCTCTTCACGTACAGCGGCGAGGACTATAGTATAGTCATCAAGACCCAGTCGCATCTCGGTGCTGCGAAATCTCGCCACGATCCGCGCCACGGTGGGAACCGTAATGGCGAGAATGACGAGAACCATGCCAACGATGATGGCGGCCTGCTTGTCTTCGTGCTCGTAGCCGGGGGGCGGCACGGGGGCAAAGGGGATGCCACCATTGGGATCGAGCGTGTTGAGCTTAAAGTCGACCCAGAACGTGCCCTGCACTATGTTGGCATCTCGGACCGTGTTGGGCGGCTGGCCGTAAAAGGCCGATGTCTTTGTGTTCGGCGTCGACATGGCAGCCGGGTCTCCCGAGACCACTTGTCACTGTGGAGAGGTGCGCACTATCTGGATTGCGAAGGGAACAGAGACACCACAGGCGTACTCATGACTTCAAGTCTTTCTGGGTACGTGATGTCTGGTGATGAGGGGGATATCAGCTCCTATATCCCTTCTGGTGGTGCGAGTAAGAGCTCGCAAGCCTCACTGATATCGTTCGACTCGTCCATGGTAAGTAGGGTTTCCCTCCCCAAGGCTTGCAACTACATGTACAGGCACCGTGCCATGGACTTGCAGGTAAGGCACTTGCAGGTAAGATACTTGCAGGTAAGGTACTGGCAGGTAAGGTGTGGTCATGAGTGAGAAGTAGCGGTACGTCCCAGGGTCTGGCGATGGTGGTGTACCGGGCCATCCGCGGACCTTGCCGTGTGTGATGGTGTTGCTAGTCATGCGCCGCCGCTGGGCGCAATATGGAAAGCTTGGTCGACGTACCATGTACTTGTACACCCATGCAGGACAGGGGGTACATGGCGCCCGTTGGTGTTCAAGGGGCTCTACATAGCACCATGTAACAAGTATGCCTGGTGTCCTGGAGAAGACTTTCTCGGGAGATTTGAGTTGGGAACTCGTTCGATCATAAAGGTATCGCTGCCCCGTTGCTGCGCCGTACCTCACTGGACAGCGTGGACAGCGCCCAGCTTGGGAGAGCCAGAGAGGAAATTGGCCCGAGTTTATTGACCGTGTTGGGAGGGGCAGAGGATGGATCAACAGTGTCTCCCCTTTCCCGCAACTTGGCATCGAGGCCTGCTCGATACCCACAGGGCTGCCGCTCGCTCTGTCCACTCTCTTAAAGAGTTGGCGTGGCCGTCGCGTGGTCTAGCGGCCCAGTCTGGTCCCTGATGTCTCTCGCTAGGTAGCCACGGCCTCTCGTTTTTGTTGTTGTCTTGTCGTTTGTTGAATCGTCGACATTGCGACCCCAAGTCATTATGCGTGCGTCTAATTTCCTCGTCAGCGCGCTCGCCGCCGCCGGCCTGGCCTCGGCATCCTGCAAGTCGTCCAACTGCAAAGCCACGAACGGCGTCGCGTTTGGGTGTCCTCCCGTCGACAAGGCCTACGTCCGCGATGCGTTCTTCCTCGGCGGGCGCACGGTGGCGCTGTCGGACGGCAACTACACGGTCGACCAGCTGTTCGTCGAGAAGCTGACGCCGGTCAAGGGCGTCACGCGGCCCAAGCCGCTCGTCTTCCTCCACGGCGGCGGCATCTCGGGGGCGACGTGGCTCAACACGCCGGACGGGCGGCAGGGGTGGGCGTCGTACTTTGTGGACCAGGGGTTCCAGGTGTATCTCGTCGACATTGTGGCCGTCGGGCGGTCGGCCAACGCCGACACGACGACGTTCTCCATGACGCCGGGCACGAGCATTGAGATTCTCGAGCAGGGCTTCACGGCGGTCGAGCGGTTCAACACGTACCCGCAGTCGCAGCTGCACACGCAGTGGCCGGGCGCCGGGGTCGACGGCGACGCCGTGTTCGACCAGTTCAAGCAGGGCTTCCTGCCGCTGCCGTCAAACGCGACGGCGCAGGAGCTGGCGTTCCGGGCGTCGGGCTGCCGGTTCCTCGCGCTCGTGGGGCGGCCGGCGTACCCTCGTCAGCCACAGCATGGGCAGCGCGGCGGCGCTGCTGCTGACCAACGACTGCCCGGAGCGCGTCGCGGCGTCGATCAACCTCGAGCCCTTCACGGTGCCCTTCTTCTTCTACGGCTGGGGCCTCGGCGGGTTTCCGGCGCGGCCCTACGGCCTCACCAACAGTCGGCTCGACTACGTGCCGCCCGTCGCGAGCGCCGCCGAGCTCAGGATCGAGAGCGTCGGCACCGAGACGCTGGCGAAGCGCAACTGCTACCGCCAGGTCGAGCCGGCGCGGCAGCTGCCCAAGGTTGCGAGCGTGCCGTACGTGGCGCTGACGGGCGAGGCGAGCGTGCACATTACGTACGACCACTGCATCATCGACTACCTCAAGCAGGTCGGCGGCCAGCCCGAGTGGATCAAGCTCGAGGACCTCGGCATCAAGGGCAACGGCCACTTTCTGCACCAGGAGCGCAACAGCGAGGAGATTGCCGACGTGGTGCTGGAGTGGATCAACAAGGCCGACGGCAAGGCGAAGGCGAAGGCGAAGGCGAAGGCGACACGGTCAGGCCTGGAGCAGCGAGGCCTGTGAGGCGAGGCCTGTGAGGCGAGGCCTGTGAGGCGAGGCCTGTGAGGCGAGGCCTGGAGCAGCGAGGCCTGTGAGGCAATGCGTGTATCCAATATGCTGTAATAATAGCGAATCCTCAGATGTGTCTAATGGAGGCGTACCTTGTGAACGATGAACATGTCATGCGAGTGACTAGCAGACAGATGTAGAGGTACGAAGAGAGTTTTGACGGCGCTAAACCCTACCAATACGGCACTTGGCAGAGATGTGCGAGTCCGAGCGCAGAGCTAAAGGATCGTGGCGTGCTTCTAGTTGTAGATGGATCGAGGAGAGATGTGATGGAGGAGGGACAAGAGGAGGCAGCCAAGAGGAGGCAGCCAAGAGGAGGCAGCCAAGAGGAGGCAGCCAAGAGGCCAGTTTCGGTGGGTCGGTCAGCACTGAGATGGTGTCGGTAAATCTCGGTCAAGTAATTGCAGGGGAACACGCTCTGTCATGTGATTTCGCCACAGTCGGCCCAAGCTCGCGTGTCATCCTCCCTCTGCAGCCAATCAAAAAATCCCTTTTTTCCCCAGGTCAGCCTCTCCTGCTCCTGCTCCTGCTCCTGCTTCGCTCCTGCTCACTACTCACTGGCTTACGTAGCACATGAGTGCCACGCCATTGGGCACGACGCATCGTTCCACGCTCTTCTGGTCCTCGACCTCCTGCCGCCATTCGCTTCCGACCATCATCCTTCTCCTCACCGTCTGAACCACCTCCCTCTTCCGCGTCATCCATTTCTCCCCCCCTTTCCCCCTCCTTCATCCTTGTCGTCTCCTTCTTCGACGCCATTCTTCTGCTCTTTTTTTCGATGAAGAATTGAAGACGCTCTCCTGTTCGGACGTGCGCCAGGGTCGAAAGATTCGTACGGCGACCGAACCACCTCGGCCAAATTTTGCTTCTTCGGCGACGACACCAACCGTCACCCGTGAGAAGCTCGCCAGCGCAAAAACCACACGCCTTGCCACAACCTGTTCCATCACCTCCGTTCCGATTGAACACCAAACCAATTGAAGACCAATCGAGGAAGCATAACTCGCCCCCATCGCAGACGTCCAGACTCGCCCGCCATGGTCCTCACCCACACCACCAACCATGCCTACTCCCACCCCTTCCCCGCCGTTACCCTCGCCTACTTCCTGCGCTACTCCTCGCCCAAGCTCAACCCCTTCTCGACCCACGTCATGAGCACCGACACCATCCACAGCCACATTGACCCCGACACGGGCAGGTTACACACGACCCGCATCCACCTCAAAAAGTCCCGTCTGCCCGCCCCCATCTTCAAGCTGCTGCCCACCTCCATCACCGGCGGCGGCTCGAGCACCGACAAGGCCAGCTACATCCTCGAGACGAGCGTCGTCGACATGCGCGAGGGCTGGATGCGCACCGAGTCCCGCAACCTCAACTTCAACAACGTCCTCTCCGTCGTCGAGCAGCAAAACTTTAGCCTGCCCGACAAAACCGACCCGGCCGACCCCTCCGCCACCACCAACGTCACGACGACCGTTGTCTACAAGTCGCGCCTCGGCGAGCGCCTGCGTGCGCGCCGCGACCAGTCTGCGACCTCCGCCGCCGCCGCCACCACCGCCGCCGCCGAACCCAAGGAGGGCAAGTGGCTCTCGGGCTGGGTCAGCGGCCTCGGCGCCCGCGGCATCCAGCGCAGCATCGAGAACATTGCCTCGAGCAAGACCGAGGCCCAGATCGGCAAGAGCCGCGAGGGCATGCGCGTCGTGCTCGAGCGCCTGCGCCACACGGGCGTGGGCGGCGTGCTCGAGATGATGCGCCGCGAGCGCCAGCTGGCGTGAGACGCCTGTTTCGGGCTTGTTCTGTACACGATATCACGGCCTTTCCTGGGGGTCATAGGCAGTCAGTCACGTCACCTGCACCTCGACTGCTTCGACTTGACGTCGAGTCAACCCCACCCCCCTTGTACCACCCCCCCTGACACCCTGTTGTATACTTATCATCGCATGATCCCATTTTTCTCTTTTTTCAGCGCGGCGCTTCATGGCTGGTCGGACGATCAGGAGGACTACGGCACACACACACATCCGGACCGAACACGGGGACCTCGCTCGTCATGCCACAACGGTGACCTCCCCTCTCTTGTATTTTGTCTCTTGGGTGCTCTGGAGGGATCGGAGGACGGAGGGGAAACAAACATGTAAAAATGGACACATGTCTGGTGAACTGGTGAATTATCACACTTGAACTGGAATGTGCTCTTTTGCTTGATGCTTGTGATGCTCGTGCTCTTCTTCTTGATGCTCGTAATGCTCGTGCTCTTTTCAATGACGGTTGAGTCATCTCCAGCGTATCGACAGCCGTGGTCACAGCCATGCCTGAAACGCTCGTCTTCTTTTCTACAACTACACATACAATGTGGTATACAATGTCTTTTCCACGACACAGCCAGCCTCACTTCTTCGACTTGCCCGCCGCCTGCCCACCTTGCGCCGCCGCCGCCTTGCTCTCCTCCTCGGCCATCATGGCCGCAATGTCGCTGGTCGCGAGCCAGGTCCTCGCGCTGTCGACGATGCGGTGCAGCGACTCGCCGCCGACGAGCACGTCGGGCAGGTTGTGGACGTCGACGCCGCTGCGGTGGTCCGTGCAGCGGTCCTGGCTGTAGTTGTAGGTGCGGATCTTGTCGCCGCGCGTAATCTTGTGCTTGGCGAGGACGTTGTCGCGCAGGCGGGCGGCCTGCTCCTCGCGGGCCTCGCGGCGCAGCAGGGCGACGCGCGAGCGCATCAGCTTCCACGCGTCCTCGCGGTTGCGCGACTGCTGCCGGCTGTCCTGCATGCTGACGACGGTGCCCGTCGGCAGGTGCGTCATGCGGATGGCCGACTCGGTCTTGTTGACGTGCTGGCCGCCGGCGCCCCGCGCGCGCATCGTCTCGATGCGGAGCTCGGCCGGGTCGAGGTAAAAGTCGCTCGCCGGGTCGTCGACGTTCATGTCGCCGCCGCCACCGCCCGCGGCCTCGTGGCTGTCGGGGAACGACGGCAGCACCCAGACGGCGACGGCGCTCGTGTGCGTGCGCCCGCTCCTCTCCGTGTCCGGCACGCGCTGCACGCGGTGCATGCCCGCCTCGCCGCGGAAGAGCCCGTAGGCGCCGGCGTCCTTGATCTCGAGCACGGCCTCCTGCAGCGGCTCCTCGCCCGCCGACGTCGACGCGCTGCCGGCGCCGTCGGCCATTTCGTACTTGAGCGCCACGGCCCGGTACCCCATGTACGCGCAGTACTGCTTGTACATCTTGAACACGCTGTCGGCGAAGAACCGGCTCTCGAGGCCGCCGGGCCCCGGCCGGATCTCGAGCAGGCACGGCATGTGCGCGAAGGGGTCCTTGGGCGTCAGCGACACCGACAGCTGCCGCGACAGCGTCGAGAGCTGCGTCTGCGTCGTCGAGAGCTCTTCGCTCGCCAGCTGCCGCAGCTCGGCGTCGGGCGAGCTGAGCAGCGTCGTGAGCTCCGTCACGGACGACTGCGCCGCCTCCCAGTCGCTGAGGGCCGACACCACCGACGACAGCTCGCCTATGCGTCGGGCCGTCTTGGGGTCGAAGTTTTCCGACTGCGAGACCTCGAGCTGGTCATGCTCGGCTCTCAGCTTGCGTGCTCGCTGGAGGAGGGCGGGTGGGAGGCTGGCGCTCGCATCTGGGGTCGTGGACGTCAGTCGTCTGTTCGGAAGGCAGGGGGAAGGGGCATTGTCGATCAAGAGCATTCTCACCTGTGCTAGCGCGGCGAAAAAAGGCCAGAGGCGGTGACCTGGGCTTTGCCAGAGCCCTGATGCAGCTGCGACATATCCATGGTGTCGCCAGCATACTTTGTTTGCCAAGAGTCGTCTCGTGGATGGTCTGGGGAAAGAACTTGAACGAGGTCAAGCTGCCTCTTGAATTAGACAGAGCATCGGCCAGCTGTCGCCGGCTGTGCGGCCTGTCCAGCTTATGTCATTCGGGGACCCCCTTTGAATACCTACCTAGGTACCTGAGGAACATGTAGGTACATCAATTCCGACTCGAGATGTCTTGCGATCCTGAATAATCGAGTCAAAAAATCCTTTCCATCTAACATGCATTGGGAAATGCACTGCTTTGCGGAAATACCCACCATGGTCAATGAAAGGGCGCAGAGCGGGGGATGCATCATTGACTCACGAGCTCGCTCGGCCTCTGGTGTCCCAACGACGATGATAACCGCGCTTCACGACGTTCCTTATAAATGGCATGGTGCCCAGACAGACACAACACACGCACGTCTCGTCCACCAGCATCCCACACCATCAACGCACCATGGCGACCCTCTACATCGGCAACAAGCGCTACTCCTCCTGGTCCATGCGGCCCTGGGTCCTCATGAAGGCCCTCAACATACCCTTTGACGAGAAGATCTTCTTCTTCGCGCCGACCATCCGCCAGCCCGCCTTTGACGCCTTCTCCCCATCCGGCAAGGTCCCGACCCTCGCCCTCGCCGACGGCACCGTCGTCCACGACTCGCTCGCCATAGTCGAGTACCTCGCCGAGGACCACCCGGCCGCCTGGCCCCGCGACCGCGCCGCCCGCGCCTACGCCCGCTGCGCCGCCGCCGAGATGCATTCGGGCTTCCCCGCCCTGCGCAGCCAGTGCGGCATGAACGTCGGCCTGCGCGTCGACGTCGGCGTCCCCGACGACGCCCTGCGCCGGGACCTCGACCGCATCGACGCCCTGTGGACCGAGGGGCTCACGCGCTTCGCCGGGCCCTGGCTCGCCGGCGCCGACTTTACCGCCGTCGACGCCTTTTTCGCCCCCGTCGCGAGCCGCCTGCAGACCTACGGGCTCGCCCTGTCCGCCGACGCCGACGCCTACGCCCGCAGGCTGCTTGCGCACCCGGCTGTCGCCCAGTGGGTGGCCGAGGGTCTCGCGGAGACGGCGCGCTGTGAGATGCACGAAGCCGATGTCGTTCGCGACGGGCGCAAGATTGTGGAGGACCTTTGCAAGTGAGCTGTTTCGCTGGCAGAAGAAAAGGACGTAACTTGAGACCCTGAAATTCTTCGTGTACAGGTAGGGGGTCTTTTGCCAAGGGGAAACGAGACGCACAGATACTGTCTGGTTGGTGGCCCACTGTTATATCCTTCCTTTTTTCCCTTGGCCGGGAGTGTTCCTCTTCTTGAATTTGGACCCCTCATTCCTGCTACAGAAAGCTTGCAATGACCAGCATTCCATATTATATCACAAAGACAAATCATAAATCATCAAGTTCGCCACGAGTCGTTATTATTACGATCATCTACAGCATATCCTTCATGTACACGGCAGACTCATGCCGGCCCTTCGCCTGTCCATTTCCTTTTCGGTCGATATGCGTGGTATCTTAAAACATTACGTGCCGCGTGCGGCATGGGGTGGTGGTGGGTGAGCGAGCAACATATGGTTATGGAGCTCTTTACAGGGCAACGGCGGCGGCGATGACACCGGCAATAGCCCAGCCGGCGGCCTGGACGCGGCCGGCAGCAGAGTCACCACCGGCAGCAGTGGTCTCGGTAGCAGCACCGGAGCTGGTGGCATCGGCAGAGCCAGTGGTGGTGCGGGAGCCAGTGGGGGCGGAGGCGGTGCTGTTGGAGCCAACAGTGGAGGTGGACGAGCCGGAGACAATGACGGTCTGGGAAGCGACGGTGCTGGTCACGGTCTCGGTGGCGGAAGCAGAGGCAGAGGCCGAATCAGAAGCGACGGGAATGGTCTCGATGTTGGAGGCAGAGACAGTGGCGGTGGTGGCGGCAGCAGAGCCGGAGGCACCGCCAGCGTTGCTGCAGAGGCCAGTGGCGAGGCGGAGGGTGTCTGCAAGAGTTGTCAGAGGGGTTGTTCGTCATCAGACGTTCACACAGGAGTGTCTGAACGTACCGGCAACCTGGGTCTCGGAGCACTGGGAGCTGGCAAGGCAGGGCTGGACCGAGGCCTGGATGCTGTCGAACTGGGAGCAGATGCAGGTGAAGTCGCTGATGGAGCAGTCGGCGCTGCTGATGCCCTGGGACAGGCAGTTCAGGGCGCAAGAGGGGATCTGGCTGATGATGCTGGTGACATCCTGGGCGCGAGCCAGGGCGACGAGGAGAGCGGCAGCGGCGGCGTACTTCATTGTGACGGTTGGTAGAGAAGCAAAGGCTTTCGTAGGTGAAGCGTGTGGGTTTGAGTTGGAGATGGGATTCAAGCTTAGATGAGTAGCAGGTTGATGAAGAGCAGAGAAGAAGGAAGAGAAAACCCGAACGGCGAAAAGCTGGGAGGAAGGAGGCGTTCTTAAGGTCCTGCCCGTGGTAGCTAGGTAGGCAGGTAGTTCACATCCGTTCATCAGAGGGTCCAAGGCAAGTGCGCGGAAGACTGCAGTGCCCTTTCCTTCCTTCCCTGCATGCTTGGCTCCCCGTCCACCCCAGGCGCCAGGCAGCCCCTACCCCAGTTCGATGACCCCGGGCCGCACTTGCTCGCACTAGTCCTGAACCGCGACTTACATCCGGGCAACATATTGATGATCCCTCCCCAAGCTGATTCGATCTGAGTGAGCCTGCCCCAGTGCTGTGTGGTCTTTCTTGCCGTCGCAGCTGGGGAGGGATCCACATGGGATATCCCCATCGACATCCACAAACGGCACGGTTACGTACCACGATCAGGCCCGAGCCAGCATAGCGCACCCCCATCGACCCCTGCGTCTGTGGCTTGTGCCTGGTCTTGTTGATGCGCCGACTCCATTCCGCCTGCTCCCATAGGTCAATGGTCGCTGTGTGGACCGCCCTGACATGTGGAGCCGGCACGGGCCCAGGTCTCTCTGGCTTCGGACGGAAAGCGACAGATAGGAAAAGTCTGGGCAGGAACGAGGAACGAGGAACACGACTGGCAGTCGTTTGGTCTTGCCGCCGGTTCTAGACAAAGCGTAGTAAGGGGCAGCGACTCAGACATGGCCACAGCCTGGCCCGCTGGCTCTATTGATCTCATGGCCTAAGCGTGCAATTTCGCAGAGATCATCTCGACCTGTTCCAGTCACCATTTGAGAAGATGCGGAGAGGAGGCCGCGGAGGGAGGTACATGTAAGAACGTCCGCTGATGCAGTCGTCGTCGTCGTCGTCGTCGTCGTTGGTCCTCGCCGCCGCTGTCTCCGAGATGTACTGATCGACACCAGTGGCGCTCGTATTTGCTTCACATGCCGGTATTGTGCCGCGTAGGCCGACGGCAATGCATCGTTACAGCTACGAATCGGAGCTGCAGACTCGGCTGCTGCTCCTACTGCATTCGGCGACGGGGAGGACTGCGAGGGCAGCTCAAGAGTCAAGAGGCGAGGCAAGGCGCAAGGTACGTAAGCTCCCGAGCCCACACAACCTCACCCCCGGAGTCGCCAGCATCAGACTCTCCACATCGAACGCCCTGTGCCACGAGCTAGTCTACTGTTGTTGGGTTCCCACTCATCGGGTGGAAGGCGGGTGGAGAATATCTTGCTTGGTGCAGCGAACTCCTGGGGAGCTGGGGGAGGCCTGAGAACAAGCCTTCGTCTCTCCCGCGTCAAGTCAACAAGACCCTTGCAAAGTCTGAAAGTTTGCTTGCAATCGCCTGTGCTGAGCTAGCCATGGAAAGTATTGGAAATCTCGACCGCAGTGCACACTCAAAGGAAGAAGCAATGGGCAATATCCCCGATCGATCAGACCCATCTGATCAAACTCTGATTGAGGAGGGCACCGTTGCACCGACGTTGATCCGACGACCGGCCCGTGGTTCGCGCTTCTGCTGCTACTGGTGTGACAAAGAGGTCCCTCCTCTGTCTCCCCGGCTGCCCGCCCAAGAGGGGAACAAAAAAATCGAGACTCCACAACCACTACCTACTACCTACCAACCCGTTAATCGGGCTGCTACCCTCGGCTTTCCGAGACGCCAACGTAGTCAAAAGGACGTTTTTTTAATATAGGGAATTTTTTGAGAATTTAGGAAATCGGCTATACTGATGATCTTGGATTTTTTTAGGGGTATTATAGTGCTGATATCTTGTAAAAATGGTAGTTGTAGTGGTTGCAGCATTAATGGAGTCTCGATTCTTTTGTTCCCCTCTTGCCGCCCACGCTCGCGCTGCTCACTCGTCCCTCGCTGCTCAGACATGGCGCATTGCCATCTCCACCAGCACGCCCAACGGCACAAGCATCTTGCTTGGAATTGCCCTCAGCACGAGGCTGGACTGGTTCGCAGCCGCAGCCGCATCCGCCTTTGGAGGCCAAAGACGGCCCTAGTCCATGGGTCGCGATCCTGCGTCATCCCGCCTGTGCACAAAAGCAATCATGCTCTCTCCATATGCGTGGAGAGCGCGCAACTTGTCACGTCCAATTGGACCATCTCAATAACATCCTCCAGGAAAGTCGGCACACTAGTCCACAATTTTCACGAGCGGCCCCTCATGCACCTGAAAGGTACGTGAAACGTTGGGCGCTCTCGCTGCCATCTCTGTGGTTGGTCTCTCCAAGCCATGTTTGCGTGTCTGCCTTGACAAAACGCAAAGCTGAGAGCTCACAATCACATGCTTGTTCAGAGGGCCAAACAAGGACGGTAGCTTGCTGCCGTACCATTGTGACCGGCAATCTAGCTCGGTTGTTTAATTATGTTACATTTTAATCGGGGCGACGGCTCCCGTCCACGGCATTCTTGAACCCGATGCATTCCTCGCTGACTCAAGAAAGAAAAATAGCGGCCTGCTTGTCGAACCCGCAACCTTCCCCGGATCGTGTGTACCAGTTGCTAAAAATGCGATCGATGTGTGGCTTGGTTCGCAGCATGCAGGTCTCGGCCTTCATCCGTTGTTAAGCTTGAGCCTATTTTATCGCAGGCCTGACCTTCGATCCGATTATGTGGTGGCTGAGGCCGGGCTCCCGCGAGTAAGGCTTCCCAACAAAACACCACGGAGTTTTCCGAACGGCCAAGGTTTTCTCGGCCTCCGCGATATGACATCCAGCCATTGAGCAAGTGCCGTTGAATCGGTTTGGTGGCCCCTTCAATGTGATCCTTTTCAGAGTTGGCTGCTGAGCGTTCTGGGCAAAGAAATCCGGCTCATATCACATGATACTCGAAAAATCCAGGTGTTAGTACTCGGTTTGATCGCTTGCGAGCTTATCGCTTGCGAAGCATTTGCGACAGTCTATGGTAATTATCGTGTGGAGAATGGCTTCCGCAGGCGCCAATATGCAGTTCATCAAGCAGGATATCTAACAATAGCACTGCTTCTTTCAGGGTTGGCATACTTACTCTGATCGCCTTCACCCAATGCCGTGCGCTTGCGGTCTCGACTGGAGATACCAGCAGGGCAACAACCAACGCCAAGGTTGCCATCATTGACACCGTGGCCATCCTCCGTATTCCGTCCGTCCATAGTACTGGGCCCACGTTGTCCTGTGCTTCGGCCCAGCTCCTTCACAAATGCACAGAACTGATTCTCTTGGAAGCGGATTCGTACCTTCGGCCCAAGTTTGTGAGCCAAGAGTGACGTGCACAATACATCAACTCACATTGAAAGAGTAGCTGGAAACATGGGGATGAAGATATGAAAGTGCCAAAATTGTCCACTCATCATACAGCTTCAAGTACCTCAATCTGTGGTTTGATGCCGATTGCGGCAGATACAGCGTGTAGTGGGGTCTGCCGCATGGCGCGCAGCTTATACCCCTCACAGTGTCTCGTGCGAGCAGCTGTGTCGCACTGTATCAAGCTGCCCCGCGCATCGCATCGCAGCGCCCACGCCACCTCATCGCGGGGCACAGGCGACTGGCAGGTTTACCACGTCACAACTCGCAATCTTGGAGCGCACAAAACTCCTCATGACAGCGACCGCCGCCCGCTAGTCATCATGCCGGAGAAAAAGGTTTCTGTGCTCTTTGTTTGCCTCGGCAATATTTGTCGGTCGACCATGGCCGAGGGTGTCTTCCGTGAGATCGCCAAGGAGCCGCAGTACAAAGACCTCATTGGGAGGGTTGATTCGTCAGGCACTGGTGCGTTGGATGCCCCGGGACCCCCGAACTGGCCCTCACTGCCACCATCTTCCCGCTGCCTCATGCTGATATGATACTGGGAACTAGGGGCTTATCATATTGGAGAGGGTCCTGACCACAGGACAATGTCGACGTTGGAGGCTCACGGCATCACCGACTATGTGCACCACGCGCGCAAGGTACGCTCTGCTTTTGTCTTCACCACCCCCCTACTCCCTCCACCACCTGAACGACATGTGGCTGACAGTTCTCGTTTGTCCTCGATCAGGTACGTCTCTCCGACTTTGACGACTTTGACTACGTCTTCGCCATGGACCGCCACAACCTGCGCGACCTCGAAAGCCTACAGCAGCGCGGCAAGCCGGACTCGCGCGCCAGGGTCCAGCTCTGGGGCGAGTACTCGGGTTCGAAGAAGGCGGAGGAGGTGGACGATCCCTACTACGGCGGCAAGCAGGGGTTCCAGACTGCGTACGAGCAGTGCACGCGGTTCTCCCGCAACTTCCTCGCTGATGTTTTCCCCCACGTCAAGACGGCCTAAGCCTGGCTGGTGAGGCGGGCACCAGGTGGAAGGACGGGGGCTATCTATTTTGTTGTGCGATGGCCGGGCCGTCGTGTGTGTATGTGGTGTTGCTATAGACGGAGATACCCAACAATGCATGGCAATAAATCTTACAGCAAAGGCTGACGGGCGGCTCGCAACCGCGTCTGAGCTCGGGCAAGATGTAAAGTTGGGGGAGCCAGATCTCTCCTTGTCCAGACTAGGCAAAGCATATATGAAGGGCCGATGCGAATAGCTCGGCAGGTACCTAGGTCAGCTGTCCACCACGGTTCGTCAGCCGAGCCAGTGCAACCCAACTCCAAGGGCCGGGACGAAGGGCGATGGATGGGAAGGGGGGCTCGGCTCGGCTCCTCTCGGCCCTTTGGATCTGACCTCAGCCCTACCAGGCCGGCTGAGGGTGACAGGTTGACCTATTTCTCGGGGCATGTCAGCTCAGGCCTGAAAACGGAACAGCCGCAGTGGATCTAATGACAGTCTGGCGGACGACAGCTTTTAGCCTCGAAACCCTGAAGGCAGTTTTGACGGCGTGGGAAAGATGCCGAGGGAGGGCGCAGAGCAATTGACGTCGAACATGGACTGCAGGGTGCGGGATCGTAAACTCGGCAGACGAGGTCCGCGGAGGCGTGAGGATGTGTGACATCGCGAGGACGCCGAATTGTGATCTGCAGAATGTGGGACTGTGAGCTGGAGTGAGCTGAACTGACAGCGGCAAGACGTATATAGGAGGCGTAGCGAGGAAAGGAGGATCTGGTGAGTCTGCAGGAACTCCATCAAG